TCTGATCCCCTGTACAATCACTGTGGGCAAGAAGTTGGCCCGAATCCACCTCTGTAGGTACGAGTATTTTTCGTTACGAGTACGAGTATGTTTCGTTACTGCAAAAATAGCACCGAGAATATTTATAGTAAATACAACAAAAATATTCATAAATAAATATGATGGATTGTATTTAAGGAGCCTGCATACAATCGGTTATTTATTGCTCTGTTGATTTTGTCCAAACGGTTTTAAACTAAATAACTCAAGTTAAAAGTGGAATCCTCTATAATGAACAGACTAGCTGAAAGTCATTAATAACAATAATAGTAGTAATACCTATCCACTAAACGCATTTGCTTTATTGGGCTATAAGGGCACATCTCTATCAAAGGTACAACCACCGAATCGACTTCCAAGTAAGTCAGTTTACCCCTATGGTGACGGCTTAATAAATTACCCTCTTGTAACTTCACGGCGTCCATTTTCCCCAATATGGAACGACACTGCCGGCGCAGAATCGTGAGTCCGGTCATTCCATCCAACAGATCGGACTGTCCTTCGGCACAAATTTGGGACAGCCAAAACAATTATGGGAAGTGGGTGGCTACGCCGTTAGAAAAGTTGGCAGCCTGGACAGGAAGGCTTGCGGTAGATAGCATTGATAGCGGTCACTTTTAATGGAATCATATTCCATAGAATGGTGTAACTGTTGCAGTCTTAAGCAACCTCAATAGCTTTCCACTTTCAACTTAATCTATTTGAAATACTTTATGGTCCACTTTTTTTGAACCCGGAAAAAGACCTTCCCATATCTTGACTGAGTCGAAGACCGTAAACGAATGTAGAGTATTTCAAAAGGACCCAAAGGGGTGGAAAGGACTGAGCTACTAAGCTGTCAGTCTCCATTCTAAAGAGGATTCATAGACTGTTCTTAAGCAGCTAGGGCTACACTAACGCTGCGGCTCCTTTAAATGATATATAAAGAGCAGGAGCTACTGGTTTTGTTCTCTCTGAACTCAAACATTAGCAGAAAATTAAAACACTACTGGAATTCATTCTTCTAATTGGTTAATAATAAGTCTGTGCTTCATTAACTGTCATCAATCAGAAAAAGAATAAGAATTGGCCTGGAAATTGATGTCATTTTTGCATCATGTGGCACGGCTTGACGCCGGTTAACAATATAAAGCCACTTGAAGGGGTTAACTAAGGTATGACTTCAATAATGAGGGCAACCACAAGCGAATAGCTTAATGCGGTATGATGAATAAATAGGGCTTTCCAGAGGGTTGCGTGCACTACTTAATGTAGGCGAGTAACACACCCGTTTATTTCATCTGTCCAGCAATCTAGAATAATGTAGAATTTCATAAATTCATTACCGTTTCGGTTATCCTTATAGGATAATCAGCATTCATTGAGTGAAATGACACGCCGAAGTGCGCCCAAAATGCAAAAAAATTGGTCAGGTTACTAATAGTTTGTTTCCTGCTGTTTTCAGCGTATCTCATTGCAATGACTTATCGCAACTTGTAGGCACTTTAATACTGCATGTTATCGTTTACTTGCGTGCATTGTCAAGCACTGCCATGCGTCATTCTGTCATCGGCATGGTAGTCTGCTCTACTCTTGACTGCGCTCCTGATTGTACTATTCCCCACCAAGTAGGGACACTCACATTGTGCACGATCGGTGAAACCAACCTGATGAATGCGCTTCACACTCGTCTGCCCTACTAGTCGAGACTGACTCT